CTGTCAATTTTTTAAAAAATGTCAATATTATAAATTTTTTTAATTATAATTATGTTTTCAGGCCCATGCCAAGTGTCCAGATACTAGGGTTTTCACTTCCTCCACTTTTTATTAAAATTTTATATTATACTAATACAATCATTTATACTAGTTCCTCCTCCTGCAGTGGACAGATGTAGATTTAGCCAGAACCAGGATGCCATTTGCTAATATGGTAACCAGCAACGCTTTTAGAAGCAGCAGTTGGTAGCTCCTTCAATCTTTGCTACAGTTTTTTCCAGCTTTAATGTTGAAACACATATTACCTATGACATTTATTGGAAAAGGAAGACCCGGACCAGGCACCACAGCAAGTGTGGTAATTGCTCAGGAGAGAGGAAAGAGAGCCAGGATAGGAGCCATGTTGGCCCAGCTTTTCTTTTAAGGTTACTCCTAAAAGACAAAATGGGACAGGTTGGCCACACAATGGAAATCAGAGATTGTTAGGCCCATATCTTTACAGAGACCTACTCCATCCACATTCTAGATCGAGCACTCAGTGAGTGGGTGGTCCATGTTCCAGGCTGTAAGTGCAAAACTCAAGATGAGAGGAGTTGGAATCGGTTTGTGTAGAGCCCTGGTCAATCTAATAGCAAGTAAGAATAGGTGCAAAAGGGGTTAATCTGAACTATATTATTATATTGTTGTATGTAAATAAAATAAAGTTTAATATCTGAACTGGTTTGGGACGCTTTCTGTCTTTTTACAATAAATATTTTTACAAATGTATGGTTGGCTTATTAATTTATTGATTATATACTGGGTACTGGTCATGTTATAAATAACTGTCAAATGTATAAAATCTGTATGTAAATGTCGGCTGGTTTCCTGTCAGCAAATTGCTAAAATAAGGATGAAAAGCACTGTAAGAAGATCGGCAACAGCATTAATGGTACCAGGAAATAAGCTGAGATACGATGTGTAAAACGGATTAATACATTGTGCAAGTAGTCTATTACAACAGGAGCTCTAGACCATGGAGGGTGCATGAGCTCTGGGGCGAATCAGTCTGTTGTCAGGAAAGTAAATAAAAACTGATTGGCTTCAGCTGAAATAGGAGGTTTTATGACCAAAAGGCGCTATGTGAGGCCATGGAGACGGGTAAGGGCTCTTAATGCTACAAATGGCATCTTCATTTTATGTTATTAGAGTACACACACACCTCACAAAGCTATGGTGTATTAAATGTGAATGTGAGTGTTATGTTTTATTAAATTCAAGTACTTGGTAAAACTAGGGCTTAAAATCCAGACTGATTTTCCATTATATCCTTTTATACTTTTGCCAATATGGCCATGAAATTGGCATTCAATTTCATTCAAAGTGGTGTTAAAGTCTTAAATTTAACTTGGAGAACTCTGGAGGTACCCTGAAGTAAGAGGTAACCAACTGTTTAGTGATGCTATGTCCTATTTAACATTTGTTAAAAGGTTTTTATGTAATGCATTATGAAAAATCTTCATCTTAAAAATAGCAGGAATATAAAGTAGCATAAATTGGTTTTAGTACATCATAATAGTATGTCTACAGTTCTTTAGCATTCAATTTAATTATAATGTAAAAAGTACAGTCTAGATCTGGGGCCTAGATAAGGAAGGAGGTTCAACAAGCCCATCATTTAGTTCACTTTCATAAGTGGTCACACAGCGCTGGTTATCATCTCAGTGGAAATGCTGATACGCTGCTGCTGAAAGCTTAAGACTAAAATGGTCAAGTACGCCATAAGAAAACATCAAACCTACACATATTATGTGCCTTTTAACTCATTTGTCTAATATTATAGTTTGTTCTTGGTTTGTAAAACTCAGTGCATTATAGAAAGTCTCCTAGCAGTCATGGCCTGTTGCAACATAACTAAGTTCAGGGCTCACCAGAGCCAGCCCTAACTACAAGCTTTATCAAAGAGCAAAGTCTTAATCCCGCTCTGCCTAAATGTGGAGATGGCATCTGGCTCCCAAACCCAAACCTGTTTCCCCAAGAGAGGAGCTTGATAGCTGAGGGCTCTGGATCCCATTCTACTTTTGGAGACTCTAGGAACCACAAGTAACCCTGCATTCTGGAAGTGCACTGCCTGGAAAGCCGATGAGAACATGCAGCAGGAACAGGGGACAGTGATAAAAAAGTTTCAAACAACATGTGTGTTTTCTAATAGCCCTCACAGTATATACAGGAAGTCATAGATGAACTCAAAATTATTTACTGTGATGGATACTTAGTTCTACTTTCTCTGATTACAACTGTTTTTTCTCTTTGTTCCACAGATGGCTGATAAGTCAAAACCATACAGCAGGCGTGAACAGGCGAACATGGTGACGGTGGTGTGTGTCAGGAGGAGGGACGCGGTCAAGGTAACATTTTATGTCTTTTAGGAAAACATTGTCATATATGTGCTGTACATCAGTTGTTCATTTAGACACTGACAAGTCATCCATCATCAAACGTTTCTCTCTTACTCTATATTATACTTTTAGTGACTTTCAATGTATTAAGTTTTTTTTCCCACCAAATTTTCAAATCCTTTATTTGAGTCCTTTTTACAGGCTATCAGCTTCTTTGAAAAGGTTGGCAAAGTTGAATCCACTAAAGAAAAGAAAATAACCCTTCTCTTCTGGGACGAAAAAAAAAATTTGACTTTACACTTGCATGAGGAAGTACACCTTGATGGGTACCTGGCGGAATTCTATGCTGCCTGCATTGGGCAAACCTTCATATTAAAAAACGTCCGGCTGAGGGAAGGGGGCTTTATTGGCGTTCAAGACAACACAAAAAATTCATGTCAAGTTATTTATATTTAATGCAAGTGATTATTTTCTGTCTTGACAAAAAAAAATTTAATTCAAACATCCAAACAACACAATGAATGAATGAATGAATAAATCTTTATTGTCCACCGAGATGGAAATTTGTCTTTGGCTCACCATGACATACAATACAAATGATCACAAGATGAAATTTCCCAGTTCCTTCCTTACTACCTAAATACTGTTCATAAGTTAACTGTGCAGCATTTGAATGACCCAGAACTAGGGATAATTAATCATTATTCTCTCTATCAAAATGCTACAAATCTATAGTTACACATTGTGGCACTGTCAAGTATGTAAGTATTAACACAACATTATTAATCTTTTCTGCTCTTGTTCTGGACATGTATTATAACAGCTTTTCTCATGTATGTGATACTGATAATCAATGCTAGTGCATTGGAGCTTTCAGTTGGCTGCATTTGACAGATAGTCAGTGTTTCCAATTAATTAACGTGGCGGCCCGCCATAGTCTCATAATAACATTTCAGACCTCTAACGTTGTGTTTTGTGGGCGCCGCTGTAAGCTCGCTCACTCACACACTTCCGACTCGAGACAACCACTTCTCTTTTGAGGTAACTACGGTAACGTTAACGGTTTGTTTCTGTCACTCGTTTCTGAGAAGGCGATTATGCTAAATTTGGAGTGCACA